AAATCAAACAAAATAAAACAAGACAGATTCAAGCGAAAGGAAAATTATGGAGAGAAAGAATGGAAGAGGCCTTAACGCCTGCAATATTTCATGAAATTCAGATTATTTGAATAAAATGAGGGAGATGGAAGAAAAATAAAGGGAAGAGACTACAACTGAAGTAGTTAAAGTTTCGCATACTATTTTTCACTTGTAAAACTCTGAATTCCATCATTTCCAGACGCAGTGCTTAGTGAAATGACCACCATGATTATTGGCAAACCTAAACAGAAGTAGAACAAAGTCAGTGCAACTAAAAAAAACATACGTTCGATTTGAGACGATTTAAAAGAATAAAAATAACTTGCAACAAGATAAATAAAAATACCCCATGATATGACGTGATACATGTGCATCTTGGTGTTCACGTTGTAAACTTTCACAAGAAACAGGTAGAAGTAAATTCCGTCAACAAACATCCAACAGAAGGCGGCCATCAGGAAATACTGCAGAAAAGCTGCTGCTATGATACAGGAAGTCTGCGAGGGAGATAATAGTCTTATTTCTGTTTTCATGTTTTTTTTTTTTATTTCACAAAACATCTTTAAGCCCCTCAAAGGCAAATAAACCATAAATGGGTGAAAAGGTCACCTACCGTATTTTCTGTGGCGTTTATACCAGCGAGAAAGATTATTTGTCCAGTTCCGAGTGCCACAGAAAGACTTAAACGTATTTGAGACAGAGGCTGCCATATGTCTCTAGTAAAACAAGCAAGCAATGAAAAAACAAACAATCGAACAAAAAAAAAACAATTACAAAAACAAAAACAAAAAACTCAGACAAGACAGAAACAAAACAAGATAACCTTTGACAAGGCATTTTGTGTACTAGTTTCTCTTACTCGCTGTTGCTTGCCATTCAGCTTCTTATCGTACGTTATTCTGCTATTATTATAATTATTACTATTATTTTTCTTCAATTTAATTTTTATTTATTTTTTCTAGACAAGTTGGTCTAATTTAAGCCCTAAAACATTCAAGATTTTTAGAGACCTAGCTCTTTATTCTCACAGTACTTACGTGAGAAAGGAATATAGAATAATGGTGAGAAATATCCCGAGGATAGAAAGGCTTAATCCCACGTATGTGATAATTTCCAGAATGGTTTCGTCCTCCTCTGTGAGCTGTGAAGAGACATGAAGAGACATAGATATCTCGTTAATTAACCTAAACGAGCTGTATTACCAATGATGAAAATCAGTTCATTACCCCTGGGCTGCCATTGTAGTCAACTAAGACAGCAAAATGAGTCAGATGATCGCAGCTGCAAACTGTTTCTTCTGAGTTGCTTTCTGATGCAACTACATAGCATCCTCTCGCTGATAATCCACCTGAACTGAACATAATAATTAATAATTCTAACAATTGCGATGATAATCCAGATGTGTATACTGCCGCATAATACTAATACTAATAATAATAATAATAATAATAATAATAATAATAACATTAATGATACAATATAGAAATTAACCCGAAAAACCATAGGGGTGCCGATAGTTTAGTTTCTTTCCTCCTTCTCTGAGTTCCTTAACTCTACCCATCATCGAATACTTTCGATTTTGACATCTGGTGACATCATCTCTAATAAAGTCGCCTTTGAATATAATCACGTTCAAACTGAGACCAATGAGTATTCTGATGTTATTCAGGCCTGGCATAACTCTTAAATAGAGTCGCTAAGCATGATTACAACCTAACTTAGGTGAAAAAAGGAAGCAAGCTAACAAACAATGATAACGAACAGGCTGGGAAAAGAATAAAAGTTAACAAATCAGTGAACGTATGATTACAGTACATAGAGGGACCCTATCAGCAATATTCATACAGATATAGCTATGACGACAGCCATATAAAAAAGTAAGAATAGCAAGAAAAAGCTTAAATAAAAAAAAAAACATTTAACAAATTAGTGGCCTCAACTTATGAGCAAAGATTAACCTTGACAGTCGTTTTCAGAACGTGGGGAAAGTTTCAAGGCTTTATCAAAATCGAGCGGGAATCTTCAGACCTCCAGAATGATGTTCATAAATTTTTCAGTTGAGATTCAAGATCCAATTACTTCTGGAACTGGGTTAATTATACTTTCCAGCTGTTACCTTTCATTTAAGCCACTCCAGAACATACATTTCCTCCCGCCTTCATGGACCTAATTTGAAAATAGATCTCTTTGGATTAGTTAACACAACATAAAACAATTCGCGCTAAAATTGTTCTTGTTCTTACATTCAGGTTCCTGAAATTTAAGGTGACATTCTCTTGTATTTTTTCTGGTTTTGGGTCGGTAGACACCGCCATCATTCCAGAGTCCAAATACCTATAGAAAAAATTAAATTTGAGCGCGAAACCGATCAATTTTGACAACAGGAATTCTTATGGGAGCCTTTACAAAACACCGTTACCTTAGAGCTACTTCATTTAACACTGAAGGGATTATTGACTTACAGCAATAATCATTCTCTCAATAAGGTTTGGAAAATTGATGACCTTGTAAGTTAAACGGATCGAGTTTCTTTTTTGTCTGTTTTTGTTGGAAGGCACATTTGGTTTTAGAAACTTGATAGGGAAACGTCACCTTGTGTTGCCTGTTTTGATTGTGAAGGGTTGATCTATAGATAATACTTCATGAAGATCCTTGTAAAGGATCCCAACAACCACTGATACTAAAACGTGAAAAAAAAAAAATCAGGCTTAAAAATTATATCATGAATTCTGCGGATAATTTATTTTATTAATTAAAATCTAAAAGCTTAAGATACAAAATGACATATCTATAAATACTTTACTTATTTACGATCAGGTTTGGATGAAATTGTTATTCACAATAAAAGAATATATTTAAGGTCAAAAGCAATAAGAATAGATCGTGTAAGCAACAAAAAACTGCTATATATTCGTTAATGTATTTTAAAACTGCAAAAACTTGGAGAGGAAAAACAAGCATTGTACCAGCACATCGAAGATTTGAAACCTCAGTAAATACAAACCGTTGTTTACAAAATTTAGGGAGGATAATTTCATGCTCGCTTGCAGTTCTTGTCTTCCAAGGTAGAAGTCGCTTGCATTTTTTCGGTAGGCTTTTTGTATAGCCAACACTGACGGAGAAAAAGAAAACAAATGAAGAAATAAGAATAACACATTTCGATCAAATTTCTTTCGCGTTGGTCTACAAGTAACCGAGGCGTAATCCTTAAATAATAATCGTGCTTGTTTGACTGCTTTTCTTTACATATTCTCTCCAAAAAAATAATCCTTTACAGATCATTAAGACATGGGCAAAAAGAGGTTTAAATACTTTTGATCATTCTAATCGCCGGAAAAAAATTATCCACTACCGTTATGATTGATGAAATTATATAGTCAACAGACCGGAATGAACAGATGAGTCGGAAATCGCACTTATCAACACTCATTGAGTGTGTTTTTACTGGACCACTTTTCTAGCTGAACATTATTTTTAGGTGTTTGTTTACAGACCGACATTTGCTAGCTAAACTTGACATCAGTTTTCATTGTGAAATTGAACCCGAAATTTAAGCCGCATACTCAGAAGATTCAAATTAGAAAAGCGCGTAACTTTGAAAAAATGGCGGGAGAGGAAGCATTTTCAATGACTTCACTTGTATTAGTTCTAACCACATTTCTCTGAAGGAGACGGCGTTTCTTTTAGAGGATAGCCCTAATGTCTCGATTAATGAGGAGGATGCGACGGATTGTTGAGTATTTGTGCTCAAAAGCGGGTACTGCGGGTTCTGCATGCTGCCACCTTGAAATAAGTAAGGTCCTGGCCGAGGAACCAAGGGGTCTAATGAGGCCGGAGGAACTGTAAATCGGAATGGGAAAGTATTACGAGTGAATTCGCCTGCGATTTCGAAAGCACTATTTGTATAGTGAACCACGAGGTGAGCGTGAGAGTCTGGAAAATATTTGCCACTTCACGGTTTGGCAGGCATCTGTCACTACGGGCAATGTGATTGGATGCGGCATTTATCAGGACGAGTTAGGGCCGACCATTTAACTTTTGAGGGAAGGGGTGGGTGATTTTTAAAAACATTTTCCAGCAAGCGCGTGTTGGAACAAAAAAATTGCATGCAGCCCAAATGTAACAGAAAAAAAGACCATTTAGAACGAAAAAATATCCTGCCCAGTAGATTGCTATAAAAACAATTTCTTCATGACCAGAAATCACCCCCCCCCCCCCCCCCGCGTGAAAATACATGACCTTCCGGAAGCTTCGCGAAAGGTCAGGTATTGTTTATTTTTAGTAAACTAAGTAGTCGTTTCTAAACTTGGTATATTTTGTAATTGTGCTATAATTAGATCCTTCTTAGAAAGTTCTACAATTTTATAGCGTAAGTATGTAAGTAGGATCGGTTAAGGGAAGGTTTAACTAAGGTTTCACAAGCGAAGAGAGTTGGTCGTGATCATTCGTGATCAGTGAAGTGTGACGAGCAGTGTTTGTTGAATTTGGCGGAGGCCGTGAGTATTTACAAGTCTATTTAATTTGGCGGAGGCCGTGTGTATTTTACAACTTGAGTTGTTTAAAGTTGGCGGAGGCCGTGTAAGTTTACTGAGTTACGTACTAGGGTAAAGTTCGTCAAGTGGAAACTACGTTCATTTGGAATAAATCTTCTCGTTGCTGTTTCGACAACCCTGCGTTCTGTTTAGACTACAAATCACCTACCACTCAAACATCGAACACGTAACACATTTTCTAAATCAGCCAATTAGTCAGGGGATTAATAAGCAAATGCATTATTAAAAATCTGAATAGATCATGTCCCGGACTAACCTAATTTGTGACTACTGATCTCCACTGAAGAATTTCCTTCAGTCAAGTGGTATTTGCCATAATCAAGGGCAGATTTCTCCAAGGCGACTGCTGCATTGAAAATGGATTTTCTTTCAATTTCGATCTCCTCTTTGCGTTTTGGGATGGTTTGAATACTGGTGATGAAGTCTTCAAAAACCTTTATAGCCTCCTGTAGCAGCTTGAAACAGTTTTTGTTAAAATAATATGTTAAAGTTTGCACCCGCGTAAGTAAAACAAAAGATTTGAGTTTCCTATGAGTATTCTACTCGCAGATCCCTAGATCGTGGTCGGACTTTCTTACAAAAGAGTTTAAGGGAACAACTACTCGTGCAACAGGTTAGCAAGGGCATATCTCTGCTATTCCTAGAAATATTATTTTAAAAAAAATAGATAAGGAAATGAATAAAATCTAAAAGTGAATTTAGGAAAAAAAAACTTAAATCTAGCAGGATGGCCAACTGTTGCATGTTGTCCAAGAACTCTTCCAAGCAAGAAGTCGGAACATCTTCTCTAGCGATCAATTTTCCACTCATGCTACCTCATTTCATAGTAATGATATCCTCAGTGGTTAGAGCATCCGGATAGATCACGGAGGGTCATGGGTTCAAGTCCATCTGGAAACTCGAGTTTTAAAAATAACGAAGATGACGATGATAATGTAACAGTAATCACAATAGTAATGTATGACGATGATGATGGTGATAATGGTGATGATGACGACGATGACAATGATAAATCAGATCTGTTTAATCTCGTCAAAGAAAAAGAAAACGGAAGAAACAGAATGAGCTGGATGTTTACCACCGCCATCATAAAGATGTACGAGCTACTCTGGACGCTTTTGAAGCTTACATACTACTGCTTCATTGCATAAGTCATTCTTTCTAATCATAGTTCACGTAATATACAATAAGTAACTTGAAAAAATAAGAAAGTAGTAGATTCATACCGTCGAGGAACTGTTTCCACCAATTTCTATTCCATCTTTTCCAGAAAAAGAATCATTTGGCTGAGTGATACATTAACATGGACAAATGACACTCTATGTAAATAATAAATATAAAATTGAGAGAAAGATGTTACGTGCCATATTTCTACTCACTCCTAACGTCGATGGCGAAGATGTCAACATTGATGGAGAGGTTGACAATAATACTGCGGCTGATGATGATGCCGACAATGATGTTGATACTAAAGCGGCTGCTACTGAAGATGGTGATGAAGATGAAGATGATATTGACGAAGCTGAAACAGCTGATTTTGATGCTGCTGGCGGCGATAACGATGATGACGATAATGACGGTGCTACATCCGATGATGCTTCTTCTAATGACACTGCTGCTGGTTTTGATGATAAAGACGATGACAATGATGGTGTAAAGGAAGACGCTGATGTTTCTGCGGGTACTGTTGCCACTAATGATGAGCATGATGATGATAACGATGGTAATGGGGATGGTGAGATTAATGATGACGGTGATTGCATCAATGTACGTTGCGAAGCTGAAAGTTTAAGAAAATGGCAATTGTGAACATGAATTGACACTTCAGAGCAAATGTTATTAAAACTAAAGATTTTTAAAATCTCGTGGCAACAGCTCAGAAATCAATCTGGCCCATAATCTCAATTTAGGTAGACCTTATTGTGAAACAAAACACGGAATACTTCATTTTGCTGAATATCGATTAGCTTTGGAGAAAATCGATATCACTGAGCTTTGTGAAAACGTCACTTTTATTTAACGCGAAATTAAGAGCGATTCACGGCGCCTCGCGTTACAAAAGAAAACACTCTAGGGCAATAAAATCAAACACATATTGTAAAACGATGTCAAAAGACACCGTGAAAACAATTTTTAGCAATTCTCGACAAGATACATTTATAATCTAATTTAATTTGATCGACCTATTTTGTTTTGCGTATTCATTGCCTCTATTTTCCTCAAACATGATCTCAGAGTGCCTTTCGTTAAATGAATGAGTGCCTTTTCGTTAAATTTCAAACATGATCTCAGAGTGCCTTTCGTTACTTTTGAACTGAACAGCAAACCAAAGCGGAACTAGGAGACCTCAAGTCAAAAGCATATGTTATCACGTGGGTGTTGTGAAATAACGCTTCAAGTGAAATCTACACTTCAGAATTGGAACGTAGAACAAATGACTAGTGGATTTTAGCGATTTTTTATTAGATATCAACGTAGTAAAAAGGAAAGACAAACAGAAGGTGAAAGAGGGACAAATGTGATCACTGGAGAAAAATCTTTACCCGAGGAAACAAAAAAGACTTCGCGGCGTTGTCCAAGGGAAACCTGGTGAAATGATAAAAACGTCGTCGTTATCATTTGAGTTCGAAGGAATTTAATTGAGAATGTCGGTACTAATTTAAAAACAGGAGTCGGTTTTTGTTTGTTTTGAGGGAACTGAGACAATTTGTTTGCAGTCTAAAAGTTGGGAACCTTCCTCAGCTAGACAAACAGAAACGGATTACCAGTACTAAAGTATCATCTTTCCAAACTGCCAAAGCCAGGAGTAAACCAACGCAAAAACCGGTTTTAGAAGAGGCTTCAGAGAACAGAAATAACAGAGACGATCATGAAAGTTTTAAAGGAGAAGGAATTGAATAGATCTGTTTTTCTGTCCAGAAAAGAGATGTGTGAAGTCCTTTCAACTATACTCATCGCTAGAAAAACATGTGGACTGTGGTAAACACCAGTATGCACTCGAACAGGTATACTGTATGGCAAGGAAATGACCATGGACGCCACCAAACTGGAGCGTGGTGCTGAGATCCTACCAGAAATATTTGATGAAGGAGCACCTATGTCATTGGAGAACCAGGGCTCCATACTACCGATAGGATGGGCTCTTAAGTGAGCAGGAATACAAAGAAAGAGTCTCACGGTGACGCAGAAAAACTATCTGATGGAGTCTTTCAAGTTGAAGGAAATACTGGGAAAAAAGCAGGTCCAACGAGCGTCTCAAAGGCAATGCGTAAAGTGAAGCATAGGAACGGCTCTAATATCTTCGACAAGAGCGAGCATCTCACACTTCAACAAATAGCACGATTTTTTCTCGCTTGTCAGCAAAGAAAACGTATACCGTGGATCAATCCAGTGAGGAAGATGAACTAGAAAAGAATGAGCAGATGACAGAGAAGGCAATCGAAGAAATGTTCGAGGATGTAACGAAGCATTAGCTGTTCAGTATCTTATTAGTACGAAACATGCAACATCTGTGAGATCGTGAATAAGTCTAACTTGGCGAAATTTCCGACGTGAACACTGCAGAACATCTGTGCAGCCTTAGAGCTAGATGTATCATCTATGACTAGCAAGCACAAGCAGCCTTATATGGAATTATTGAAGGCATTGTGGCCAGGTGTGGCTGTAAAACCAGAACAGAGTAGTAGTAAGGCTGACCAGAATATGTAGAGATTAACCCACGAAACAGTCAGTGATGTCGAGAATGTCTTTCTTGCGGTAAAATGAAATTGATGGTTCTGTTTGGTGTTATGTGTGTCGTAAAGACTTTTAGTGGAGATGCTCTTTTAAGAGTGACGACTAACGGGGTTGTAAAGTATATTGTCAAAATTATCCTAGTAGCTTTTTACGATAGAAACCAAGGCAAAGCCAACAACAAAAGTTGCAATAGGAAATGTAATAATTTGTCATAAATTAGTTAAGTCTGTGGAGAGAATAGGTTCATAGCCACGCCCACATAGGGAGAATCTTGTCCATCCTCAAGTGGATTTCAAGATTTCTCAAAAATTTTAAAGAAGGTTGGTCAATGTAAAATATTTTCAAGCTATCTCATGTATTACAATTTAAGGCCAATCCTAAGAAATCTTCCAATTTTATTTTCAAAATCATTATTAACTACCTCACGTTATCAACCACGCCCTATTTTAATGAGAAATCCATCGAATCGAAACGCCCACTGGACAGAAAACAAACCGTTCTCCTTTTGTAGGACCAAACAGTGGCAAATAATACTCTTCTTGTGAAGACAGTCAGAATGAACAGAAGTCATCAGCGTCTCGCCCTGACGAAAACCTAAGTTAGAGGAGGTCTGGCTGACTAGTCAATGAACACCAGATGTACCTGCCAATTTTAACGATTCGGGAACCATCAGTGAGCTGATTTCGTATGCACTTTGTAAGTCAGTGGTTTGATACAGAAAATCCGGACCTGTACGTTTAGGACTAGTGGTGAGAATCGTTATTTACCATTTTCGAACGCCGAAGGCTAATAGGCGTGGTCAATCACACGACCAGGAGTCCTTATAGGCTCCTGAAGTGACCAAGTAATTTGGATTTCTTTTTACAAGTTTTTTTCAGTTAGTTTTACAATCTATCATTCCTCATGGATGTCTTAAACTATAGTTCTTGCCTGGAAAATGTGCATAAAAACCACCTAGTTTTTGTTAAAATTAGTTTATCGAGGAATTCATCATCCTTGACCAATCGTGTCTAAGTGATTCCGTTTAACCCACTGAGGCAATAATGTTCTTACCCTTTTCATAGCTAGTGACCATAAACGGGTTGAATCATTTGAGAAAAAGCTAGTTGATAACAGTTTTGAAATTGATTCAGAGGCTAGACTTTGTTTTCCGAGTGGTTCATTGACTTTACAAAGAAAGATGGTTTATGTGAATTATCACCGTAGAATATAACTGAGGGTATGAAATGTAAAAATTGATATTGAAGTCAAAACGAATCGTTGATTTGAAAGGTTTAGCAGCAGCATTAGATCACTGAAGGGTTCATGATTTTCCAGTCACAAAGGTCCGTACAGGTGAACTTCCGCTCTCAGGTCCGGAAATAAAAATTGGTCACGCCACATTTAAGCGGTTTTCTCGCAGCATTACTGTAAATGCACGTTCGCTTAATCCAACTTGCTGAGAACGCCCAACTCCATCCATAAGGAAAATTTAAGTTGTTATTGTACTCTGAAGTCTTAATACGCTGGTAAAGAAGGTAAAATGAGCCTTTAATTTTATGATCAAAGTATTTGATTCTTCCCCGAAATTGTCACGGATTTAAAACATGTTTCCAATGTGTCAGTTTTTAATAGACGGTTCGTTCAATTGTTTGCCTTTGGTTTGCTTATTGGTTCGAAACTGATTTTAGAGGAAAGACAAACGGAAATTACTGTTAAATTTGATCTCTGATCTTAAACTCAGAGATAAGGTCGGGAACACCAAAACATCTCACGTCCGGTCTCCACGATGGCGTGTGAACAAACAGGACAGCTGCGTTATCTTTAAGATTATCTTGTAGTTTGATTGAAATTTGTATCAAACGAGGTGACAGCAGGAATAAAATCTATGTCTCTGATCTTAAAACATGTTGCTTAAGTTTTTACGTCAATTCCGCTTTTGATTGAAAGCTATTTTTGAAACAATATGTATTTCTCTGTGTGTTACTTTATAAATTGGAAGGTCGGTTAAAAACAGGGCATTTTATCCAACTTTAAAATTCAATTTCTTCACGTTAAATCATTTCCCCAAAAAATCCTTTGGACATGTAAAAGAAAGATTACTCGGCTTTCCAAATCCAGATTTTTTATCTATTTTTTTTTTTTTTTTCATTTTAGTACCACGTACTTAGATTAAAGGTTATTTTTTGGAAGTTTTCATCTTAACAAAAGAAGGTTCGCCGAATGTAATTATATTTTCAAAGCAAATCGAAGAGAATTGCTGAATCTCCTTTTTACACATATTTTGGCATAATTCTACAAGACTCAGTATATTTCATTTCTCTAGAGTGTCTTATTTCGTTAAGCGAAGCCTTCTTTTTCTCCCTAAATTGTAAGCTCAAATTGTGGCCAATTCTCAGGATTCAGTTATTATCGACTTTCTCGAGAACTAATCGATATTTAGCCAAACAAATGATGCAGCGTTTTCTTTTATATTAAGGTCTACCTAACCTGAGAATATGGGCTAAATCGAATTTTGAGCTGTTGCCGCGAAATGTTTACCGATGGTAACATTTGCTCTTATATTTGAAAGTTATGATAAAACTAGAAGTTAGCATGTAGAAATTGAGAGAGTATTATTCTATTTATAGAATCTTTGGCATTTCTTCGCAAAAAAGGTAGGAGTACGTTTTTTGCATTTAATGTATTTATTGTACTCACTGTAAGCTTCTGTTCCATGTCCTGCTGGAGTGTTGGTTGCAAAAACTCGAGTATATTTAGCTTTGGTAGATGTAACGACGTTTGACGTGTTTAGATTTGAAGTGCTGAGGAGATTTTTTGAATACTTGGTACAGGCGCAGCTTTTATGTCCGCTACATTTGGTACTAAAGGCCATCGTCTTGAGAGACGATGTGTCATAGGTCGTTGTAAAACGTCTGCAACATTGACCATTTCCAGAGCATATAAACTTCTCCTGATCACTGTTTGGCCAGGTTTTAGTCATGCGACATGTGGAAGCCTTGCAACTTTGTGTACATCCAAAACATTTCATATCACAGTTTTTTTTAGCCTTGCAAATTTGTTCACAATCCCCCTCGTTGCATCCCATATCCATTGTGCAATTGTCTACTTGTTCTGAGCATTCCTGCTTTCTGCAACTTTTCCCGCTGCATTTCAGATCACATTTTGTTTTAGCCTTGCAACTCTGTTCACACTCCCCCTCGTTGCATATCATATGCATTGTGCAATTGTCTACTTTTTTTCGGCATTCCTGTTTTTTGCAACTTTTCCCGCTACATTTCAGATCACATATTTTTTCAGCCTTGCAACTCTGTTCACAATCCCCCTCGTTGCATCCCATATCCATTGTGCAATTGTGTACTTGTTCTGAGCATTCCTGTTTTTTGCAATTTTTCCCGCTACATTTCAGATCACATGCTTTAGCCTAGCAAAATTGTTCACAATCCCCTCCACTACATGTTAGATTCAGTTTACAAACTTTAACTTCCTGGTCGCACCCCTCTTGACACCGTGACCCGCTGCAATCCATTTAACAAGAATAACCGGTCCAATTACTAATGAGACTGCAATGATTGCCACTATCACAACTTGATGTACAATGAATTTTTTCACAAGCATCACCCCCCAGGCCTATGCATGAAGGGAAAAAATAGCGAATAAAGATGAAAGTGATGATAACACTTCTAAAAAGTACGAAGGTGACGCAAGAGCTTCGCCGAACTTATAAACACTTAAAATCGGAAATGGAATTTTCACGAGAAACTGCCATTATAGCAAAGTGTGCGAGTAAATATATAGAACATGTCATTCTAAAACGTTTCTTTCCAACGAGTATCTTATCACCGCAAAGCTAGCAGAAGTCCTCCATTTGCCTGTTAATATAAACCGATTTCTTCGAAAACCAACAGCCCGCTTATAAATCTTTATGTACGAGATTTATCAAAGTGTAGCTTATATAATGTCATATCATAAATGCCAATTTTATTCTTGTTGTTGTTTGCAAGAATAGGCCATTCGATTCTTAGTTACTTTATTTATGAGTCTATCGTGGTTTTAAAATTACGCGTTGTCATTATTCTCAGAAATACATCTACTTTTCAGGCTTCTTGGTAGCTTGCCCATTCAAGATTGAAGTATGACACCTTGTTTCCATAAATACACTGTTTAGGATAGACATAGAGAAATATATTCGGTTATCCTTCAGAATTCACAAAATTTCCACATAACGGCGTTGACTTGTCAGATATCGTTTATTCAAATGAGTCCAAGAGATGAAGTAGTTAATAATAATGTAAATGCTCATGATTTAGACGAAAATCGGATGGGAAATAAAGAAAATTTGCCGGATACCCTTAAAAGAAGACTTGAAATAATTTTCTTACGCTACTAAGTTCAGTAATCATCCATTTAGTTACTCCAGAATTTTCATATCGTTGAATTAAAAAACCAAATTGTCATTTGCATTTTCGTGGTAGATCCGTGTGTTAAATCAGGCTTCAAGCCTGTAACTCAGTTGAACATTGGTTCACTGGCTTCTTGAAGTCTATCCTCTGAAATATTTTTCCTGGCTTCCTTCCGAAAGCTTGTGTGGTCAGGTGTTACACAGGATAAACCTGTTTATAACCACTCTAAGTTCTAGCGGTCTCTGTCTCACCCTACCTTCAGCCATATCATAAAATTTTTGACTCCTCAGAGTACGCTCATGACACATGCTAAATGAATTCAACCTTTTAAAGATAACTTTAGTACTCACTCAACAGAGTTATTGATAACAGGAGTATTCCCAACAAGTGGCAGCATCTCGTCGTCATCATTTCTTTCCGTTGTGTGAGACGAGTTCCTGTCCACTGAACCAAACGCAACCTTCTGACAACTTTACAGCAGCTGTAAATCAGTTCAAAATATATTTTACCAATATAAATGCAAGGCTGGGAGAATTTTCTTTTCAGGAATAGTTAAAGGTCAGTCACCTAGTGTTGTTTTCAGCCAGAAGCAGCAGTTTACTCAGCTCTGGCATATGATACGGGAAGTTCACTGTTATGCAAATTGACGTCAGGTCTCTCTGCTGAATTGTTATCAAAATAAGCCTTTTTACTAAAGTAACAAAAAAACAACAGCTATGAAATTGACATTTCCAGAAAATGTTTCATTCGAATTGTAAAACTTTTTCAATGGTGTGGTAAAGGATACGCAATACATAGTGAAAAACAGAACTTTTTTTAATTATATAGGCTATGGATATCAACTTAATGACGACGGGATTTTATTCGGTATCCATGTCACCTATAATTACTGACAATTGCCAGTCTTTGTTTATTTAGCCCGTTGACATCGAATTGTTCTTTTTGGCGGGGGAGCGTTGGCATCACAAAAGCTGCTCTGAAATAATTACATCTCCAGTTGAAATAATTCTCCAGTAAATATGTAATTAATTTGTTCGTTTTTTTCTATCGGTCCTCACTAAGTGGGGCAAAGTGGTAGATCCAACCTGTATATGCCACGCATTAGAGGGTGTTATTGACAAAATGTGGGACGTTTTTCGTTTCTTGAAATAATAAATGGGCATAATAGCTCACCAAAGCTTCATAAATTGTTTCATTTAAAAAACTGCCAGACCTATGAGTTTCTATTATATGAGTGTTACCTGTTTTCATTATTTCAGTGGCACTGAGGAATATTTCATTTTAGTCTACGAGGTTCTTAGTTACTAAGAATATATTAAGAAACCAGTCATTATTTATCACCTGGGGGGGTAAGGCGGAGGGGGAGATAAGTCGTCGCTAACAGAGTATAAAGAAAAGGACTAAGTACAGTTGACTTCCAATGAGAGGGGATAAATAGACTGCTAAATATCCAAAGAAGAGACTTGGTAAATTTATTGTAGCACGATTAAAATACTCTGAAATACCCCCTCCCCCTTCTTCTTTTTTTTTCCAGGCGGTAAGTAATGACCAATTCCTAGCCAGTGATAATTTGCTTATCAAGATAACTCACTTGACTCACAGAGTTGTCACGTTCAATATGGATTTCGACGTTTCGACTCCGGGTAAACTTTATGCTTCCGAAGAACAAAACACACAAGTGCAGGTGTACCCTGTCGACCACCCTTATCGCTTAGGGAGTTTCACAGTAGGCATATTTTATTCACATCGAAATATGATTTTGATTACAACCTACATTTTAGTGCTAATAATGATTTGCTATGTTCAAAATTGCACATAATAATAGTTTTAAATAGTTTTTCACTTAGCTGTTTCTTCCAAAATTGACGGATAAATACCAAAAAGCCGATAAAAAATGCTTTTTTTATCACCAGCTGTTTCAAATTGCCCCTAGGGTTTCTCGAAATGTTTTTGGAAATGATCTAGAACAAAGAAAAACGAATAAAATAAGAAAAAACATCGATGCAGTTTAAATATTTTTGCGAAATGGTAATCTATTAACTGCCCTGTCAATGTTGCCTTGTTTTGGTTTTTGACATATTTGGTCTAATTTTGCCTTTGTAATAAATGTAATTTATGCATACTTTCTAAAAGCTAATGTTTTATTTTTTGTCCTCGTTAACTACGTGATCATACTTAAAGACACCTTTTTACCTACGCGTGAATTATGAACTCTTGCCCGCATGCATTCACATTGCAGGTAGCTCGTTTTCTTTGCGTTTTTCAAAGGCACTGGAATTTAAATAAATCGAAAAAAAAATCCGTGACAGAACTAGCTAGTCTCATAGCTAGTCAGAGCGCGTGTTATTTCGAGACGTTGCCATCTTTGTGTATAAAGTCTTTTTTCTTCATATTTCAGAAGCCCTATCTAAATGCGAAGACAGCTGACGAATCTGTAAGGCAGTTCGCATAATTTTCGAGAAGTACTCCGCCATATCCTACTATTCTCCTATGATAAACTCATTTACCTAAGACGTACGCACGATTCTGAAACGTGGTTACGACCGCGTTTACATACATCCAAATGCACCTGCCGATCATCGGTGGAACCATAGACGGCTCGGCTAAATCGATAGTTCAGTTCCCTTTTTGACTGTCTTTTTTTCTACTTTAGTATATCTAACCTTAATTCATCGTATGCTTTTTCTTTCTACCCTATTTTACAATGATATATAAAAAAAAAAAGAACTAATAAAATGCATTGGGTAAATGACAATTCTCTACTTGAAGAGCTGGAGTAAGTCATTACATAAATTAGCATAACCATGATTTATTCATATTCAGAGCGACTTTGTGAATTGACGGAGTGAAAATCGAAGAATGTGGCACATGGTCGAAAAATTGAAACCCTTCATATAATTACCCAGAGACACCTTATAGTGAACATAGAAACGTGGAAAGGGTTTTTTTTTTTTTCCAGTCTTGTTTCTTTATCCTAGAAAATTCACGAAAACTGGAACGTTCGTCGGTAGCCGTAAAATGGCGGAGGTTAGTGCCCCAGGTAGAGGCAATTAAACTCTGCTCAGAAAAAAGCTCAAAAGAAAGCAGGATCGCATCAATTTTATAAATTTGTAGAGGGAGGATTGAGGTATGGTTTAAGCCTAAAACAGGACCATTTCATTCAATTTGCAGCTCAGAGAACGCTTTTGAAAATCACCAAAAATTCAAATTTCAAATATCGCACTTCCTAGCAAATTTTCAATTATCATTTTCCCCATGTGGTATAACTCAGAATCGGCTCGTGATAAGTTGAAATAGTGTTATTTTCGAGGATATAAAAATTAGTATGGGGTTTTGTATTCCCGCAGTCGTGAATAAATGAAGACGATGTGGCACGGCCGGTTTTTTCGGTGACTATCAAACAGATGACATCGTCAGACGGAAGAATACTAAAATTATCATGCTGGAAGAAAAACTGATATGTTGATCAATTAAAACTTCAACATCCCCCTACCCTTAGGAATTTCAACATTTGAAGATCGGTTCCTACCCCCCTGGGCCAAAATCATGTTCAAATCCCTTACCCCTTTGCCATATTCTAGCAGGTCTTAATGGAATTAATCGTTAGCCGTAAAACGGCAAAACAATTAGCCAGTAGGCGTAAATATTGACAAATTTCAATTTTGAGCTTGAAGGTTACAACAACTAATCACATGACAGGAATGTGATATTGTAAACAATTTCGCTATAGGATGTAGATGAGAATTTGAAACGAAAGAAGGGATGAAAACCAATCTGTCATTGTTAACTATGCAAGGCTAGCTTATAAAATTGATTTCATAATCGAACACGGTACTAACTGCTAAAATGTGCTTGGAATTCCGGAGTTAACCACATGGTCCCAGTTAGATTATGTCGTGACTTAAATGTCGATGTTGTGATTTTCACAAAGCTAACGGTTAATTCCATTAACTACTTCCTAAAATCTTGTACTAAGGCAGGGTATTTGAACAAAATTTTGGCCCAGGGGGGTGGGAAACAATATTCAAAAGTTGAAATTCCTGAGGGTAGGGGGTTGTTGAAGTTTCAATTGATCAACGTAACATTTTTTCTTCTACCATGATAATTTTAGCTTCCCTCCGTGAAACGATGTCACTTGGTTGATAGTCACCGAAAAAACCGTGCCACAGCGTCTTCTTTAATTCATGACTGAGTCTAATTATTTACAGTTAAAAAACAGTTACCAAAAGGGTTTTCAACGGGGTGGGGCCGGGATGAGTCATCCTACAGTAGCTCTGCTTTTCAATGAAACACTCGTCCAAGTTAACATATACTCTATCATCTAATGAAAAAGTGCTGTTTACAAATTATAACCGTGATTTTCGGGACCGCAAAACACACAAGAGGGGAAGAAGAAAATGATCTTATTTGTGATTGAAATAATCTCAGCCTTGCGTGACAAACGCTTGTGTATGTTACATCTACACTAGTATCAGATTGTTTCCCGTCTTCAACGTCTTCGGCAAAGAACATTTGACTTACCGGTATAAAAGATTAAATTGTCCTCTGTAAATTCCACAATGAAGCTCCAGTTTACCCTAGAACTGTCTTTAAATTTAAACGCGTTCGAAAATGCATAAGGAAAAAAAAACAAAACAGCGTGATCCGCCAGCTTTCGGAATGTGATATTGTAAACAATTTCGCCAAGGGAAGTGGATGAGAACTTTGAAATGAAAGTAGGGATAAACAACAATCTGGCGTCGTTAATTAGCTTTGTAAGCTAATTCCGTAGTTAACCGCTAAGTGCCTTATTGAATATGTTGTGACGTGACTGCCGATGTTACGATTTCCATAAAGTTAAGCCTGATTTTTCCGCGCGGAAATAAAGAGGCCACAAACTAGTTTTTATATCCTGGAAAACAACACTATTTCCACTTATAACGAGGTTAACCTGAACCGATTCTGAGTTATAGCGCACGGGGAAAAGGATATTTGAAAATTTGCTACGAAATACGATATTTAGATTTTGAAATTTTGGTAATTTTCAAAAGCGTTCCGTGAGCTCCAAATTAAATGAAATGGT